AAAGGAGTAGCAAAAGTAATAAAAACAATAACAACAACAACAACAAAAGTCATTTTGTCTGGGCGCAAATAACAAAACTATCCAAAATCTGCAATCATCACGATATTTATTTTCTTGATCGTGATCATGCATTAAAAGAGAGCAAAGATTATGGGAATTGTGAACGCTCTGGTAAAATGTTGGTGGTGAAATCTCTATTGGAGATGTGGAAACCAAAAGGACATCGAGTGCTGTTGTTCTCACAATCAACCGAAATGCTTGATATTCTGGAGAAATTTGTAAAATCATTGCGATATAAATATCGCAGACTTGACGGAACTACGCCGATCTCGAAACGTCCATTTTTAGTGGAGGAATTTAATAACGATGAAAGTATCTATGTTTTGTTGTTGACTACCAAAGTAGGTGGGGTTGGCTTAAACCTTACGGGTGCTGATCGAATTATCATCTATGATCCCGATTGGAATCCTTCTAACGACGATCAAGCAACTGAACGTGCAGCACGTCCAGGACAATCCAAAAATGTATCAATTTACCGACTAATGACTTTTGGCACCATAGAAGAAAAGATTTATCATCGCCAGTTATTCAAAAGAATGATGTCAAATAAAATAACACGGAAACCAAGTAAGGATGATATTCAATTCGAAGCTGAAGATCTATATGATCTTTTCTCGCTCGGTGATCCTGATGCCAAAGACACCGAAACAAGTTACATGTTTGGAGATGCCGAAATCGGAATAGAGGAACCAGAACCCAAGAAAAGAAAAATAAATTCTCATAATGGTCGATCATCATCATTATCACCATCATCAGCTGCCTCTAGTTCAACTTCACGTAATAAATCCAATCCCAATGGAAATAGTTTACTAGCTCACATACATACTTATAATAAATTATCAACTTTTAACAATCCAAAAACCGCGGAGCTCCTTGATTCCGAGGAAGAAGGGGAAATCAGAGAAAGGCCTTCTAATGGCGATGCTTTTGATGGTGTTGTGATGGTAGAAGATAGAAACAAAGATCAAAAAGAGGAAAAGGAGGAGTCCGAAGAGAAAGACTTACTCCAAATGTTGTACAAGACGGCTGGATTGCATAGTGTCTTTAAACATGATAAAGTTCTCGGTGCGAAATCAACAAATAATTCATCCGTTTTCGAGAGGGTCATTGATGAAAAGGCACGTAAAGCCGCCAAAGAGGCAAAGGAAGCCTTGGAAATTAGCCGTCATCAATTGCGAAATCTTCCATTGGGTACTTTAACGTGGACAGGACAATCTGGTAAAGGAGGGGTTAAATTTGATTCATCAAAATTAAGGAAAAATGATGATCCATGGGACTTTTCACAAAACAAGAGATTTTAATGTTATTTATTATTATTACTATTATTATCTTCCTCTAATTATGAATAATAAGTTGCTTTCAAAGTCATATTTACTACCAACTACTTAATGGCTAATACGAGTAATGAACAACTGGCATAATCCATAGATAAATATAATTTATATTTCATACTTTCTTGTCTCCATCATTAAAAAAGAAATTCTTTGGAGTCGTTTGTCATATCTTTCTTTTCTGAAGTGAAATGATAACGATTGCAACAATCATTGATCTTTAATCGGGCCAATTTTTCGATTGCCCGTACGTAGTAGTAGTATGTGTAAAGCTTTTCTCCAATGTTACACATAATATTGCCTAAAAAGTATAAAATTCTAAAAAAAGTAAACATCAATGTAAAAATGTCTTTTCGTTCAATTGACATAGATGCATTCGATGAGGAACGACTTGCTGAGAAAGAAATCTTTGAGTTTTCGCATAGTGCTGGCGAAGGGTTAGAAGATCAGTCTCCAGAGGAAGTTTTTGCTTCCGTTAAGGCCAAGGAGGTGGAAGTGCGTAACCTTTTGCAAAGGTTTGTTCGTCAAAGGTCCAGCTATTGAAATTGCTTATTTTTAAATATAACGTTTTTTTTTAAAATTTCTTTATAGAGGAAACGCTTCCAATGCTCTCATAATAGCGATAGACAATCCACCTTATGGGCTAGATCGAGATAATGCAAAAGTAGATATGATTTCAACATAATTCATTGATTTAATAAGAGAAATACATAATGACCATTTGTGGAAATTTTTATTTTTCCAAGGAACTAAATGTAAAAATAGTCATGGAGGTTTTGAACTCTATAAAAACAACAGACATTCCCTCGGTCGTGAAAATGTTATCAAGTGACCAACAAGATACACTGATGAAATATATATATAGAGGAATGGAAACTCCCAAATCATATCCTTCCGCTATACTGTTGAATTGGCACGAGAAAGTAATATATTATATAATAATAAATAGTATTTCTTTATTCGTATGGTGTTGCTAATTTTTTCTTTACTTACAATTCATTTTCTTTTCAATATTTTTTCGAAAGTTGACTGAAATTGCTGGAGTTGGTTGCATTGTGCGAGTCATCACAGACCGGAAAACTCTCTGATTACTTATTTAAAAAAAAAATTAGAATAATTTTGTATAGAATTGCTATTGTCATGGTTATGTGATTAACGAAATTTTCTCTGAAAGAGTAATTATTTATTAAAATATAAAATAAATAAACCTATCAATATACGTGGACTATGATCATCTATTTTTTTCTATTCCAAATTGAATAAAAAACCGAAGATAATATTTTCCTTGTTAAGAGAAAGAATCAACAAAACCGCCAAAATCGTTATTTTCAGATAATATTTGATTTTGTGAAGAGTTTGCCACTGTAGCGAATGATTTCATTATACGTTGTTGCTGTTTAATAGATGAAGTAGAAGGCGGTGGAGGTAAAAGCGGGACATCTGTAGATATCAATCACCGTTAATATATGATTCTGCCAAAACTATAATTCAAACATTAAAAGTAAAGTAACCTGCGGATGATTCATTGCTTTCATTCTGTGGGCGAGTTGTTTTTGATGTGTGATGATGCTGCCAATCAAGAAATAGATATTAATTGTTTAAAATCAAAAAAAGAAGAAAAACAAAAAAAAAGCGCATCATTACATTTCCTATTACGATACTAATCGTCTGTCCTTCTTTTAAACTATAATCTTTTTTTGGTTCCAACGCTGCCTTTTCCGCTTGTAAAGATGCTTCTTTTTCGGCTCTTACGTGTCTATTAAAAATAATTATTACGTTTCTTCATCAAACTCAACACACTATATATTAATAATGCGTCAACAAAAGTAACATACTTTATGTGATCTTGTAATGCCACCTGAAAATCAAATGCATCTGACCGTTCTAG